ACAGAAAGTTAGTTACCGTGTCCTCTCTCTCACGATTACTATGAAGTAACCACGAGACTCTGAGGCTCACAGCGCACTCTAGTGGAAATAGATGCATTTAACATCTAACTATTAAGGAATCTTGTCCTTCACATATATGACACATCAGATCTACTTCACACTGGGCGGGTTTATTAATGGGAATCATAGACTGTATATAAGAGTCACCAATGAGTCACCCATTGGTTTATGGACTGCCGTTTTGAAGCCTCGAGTTCAGCATTTTGGTCGTCGCCATCTTGTTTTTTTTGCAACCAGTGAACAGGAAGTGACCATATTTGGACTGGGAGTGACGTAGAGACGTCGTATACGTCTCTGGCAGAGACCCGTCAATCACTGTGTAGCCCCGCCCTAAAGCATCCCCTGCTTTATGGTCTGTTTGACTCTAAATGGACCATAATTTACTAAATGAACATCATGCTGTGTTGAAGAAGACTTGAAACTAGAGATTGAGACCATAAACTTATGTTTACAATGTTTACTGAGGTAATAAATCAAGAGAGAAGTAGAGTCATTTTCTCACAGACTTCTATACAACCAGAGGAGTCGCCCCCTGGTGGACACTAGAGAGAATGCAGGTTGAAGAGACTTCAACATTGGCTTCATTTTTCAGAACCACCATCAAAGGTTGTTGCAATTTGGACATGTGACACTTCCAATATTATTAAACTCTGAATAAAGAAGCGAATGGCTAAACAAGCCAACAGTGGGTGGGCGGGGCTTCAGGGCTGTGCAGACTGAGTCGAGCATGTCGTCCTCAGCCTTTACTGCGGCTCATTGACTACAGTCCACTTTTGCTGCTGGATGCTTGATATACTAACACTACATCCAAACTCTTCTTCACTTCCCTGGAGTCAACAAGCAGTAGCGGTTCTCGACAACGATCCACGCGAAACTTCAAGGGGGCCAATAAATCGTCCCGCTCCAAACTGGCAGGCTTTCCCAACGGGCACGCATCGCTGCGAACTGGAAAGCTAAGCAATCGGCACGTTCTGAACACTCACTGCACTCGTCTAACCATAAAGCAAAGACTATGTGTGTGTCCATCCAATCTTCTTCACACTTGGCGGGTGTGCTGCAGGATGTACAAGGATGTGCAGTGTCCAAGTTGGTGCAATTTGGACACGCGCCACGTGCAATATTAATGAACTTTGAACAATAACACGGTTCTACAACACAGCAAGTCTCTGAATTGATCTCAAAAAGAAAAATCCAATGTATCACAGAAGCGAACCCTTTGACGAGCTTTGGTTTGGTACCAAATGATTTTGGCTGAACCGACCTTTTGAGCATCGAATATACATACTGCTGGTATGAATCACATGGAGTGTCCAAAAGGTCTTAGCTGAAGTCAGTACAAAAATCCCACCTTAGTGACTCCATACCACAGAAGAAGAAGAACATCTGACCATGATCACTTCAGCCACTGACGCCTCTTTAGCTTCCAGTGCAGCTCTGTTTATTAAAATGGTCTCAAGAAACTGAATGAACAAAAGCGAGAGCCGACGTTGTACATAGGTTGTTCTTTTGGACTCGGAGCAACGAGAAGATGTTAAACTGTATTTATGTTGAAATAGGTCAAAATAAACTTGGGCAGCTTGTAATATACTTGGGTGTGACACATAATAGTGGGAAACTCTAGTGGGCATCATCCATGAGAAGGCAGGATAATAGTGTCAAAAACAGAATATGTCCTTTCTTAGTGCACACAAACAGCAACGTTACATTTCTTCTGCCTGAATCGAGCAGTCTTTTGTCATATTGATGTGAACATTTCACTTCCTGTCAATCACCTGACACCCACAGGAAGACATAATCAAAACATGTTGTCATACAAACTGCACCGTCAAAGACGCGCTGTTCGTATTCGGGCTCTCTTTATGCGCTGTGACAGCTGTTCCTTTAAAGCATTCCTCCCTGGATGTTTATCACACTGGTGCAGTTTCAAAACATCTTTACTCCGATTACTGTAAAATGTGGACTAATTGTGCACCCCTAATTAGAAGTAGACTCTTAATTTAATATTTGGTAACAAGGCTCAAGGCTGACAATGGAATCATTTTTTTACTACGATGCAGTTTTATGAGCACTAAGAAGGAGTGCTCTGATCTTCCCTAAAATGTAACGAGAAACGTTTGCGTTGGAGACGTCACAATGCCAGAAATGTAGCGACCAGGATTCTCTGAACCCAATTGATACAAAAGTAAAGAAATTAAATAAAACAAAACACAATTGGAGCTGGTGTTTGGAAGTTAAACAGGTCATAATTCTCCTCTAATATCTATTTTATATTGCTCTGAAGACAAACAGGTTATTCAGGTTTCTCAGCAAAAACTACATTTTACACAGGATTACATTTGAACACATCGTGATAACGTTAGAATTTACCCTCGCGACAAACACATTGTCACTGAATAGAGCTTGAACGGATCATAATGAAACTCAACGGAACCTCCGCTAACGTTAGCTAAAGTTAGCTCTCGTCCGGCCGATTTGTCAAAAAAATGGATTCAAAGCAGACATCGAGCTCTTGCTGTAGCTCTGTTGTCGAATGAGGAGGAAGGGAGGATTATACTGTATATAGTTCATCGTAATGAAAAAACACAGCTAAATCAACTTGTCGTCTGCATTTGTCCGTTCCTACGACATCGACCGGCATCAAAACAGGAAGTCAGTGGTTAAGTAGTAAAACACGACTTTTGCTCGATTTGATTGGCTGCGTGGGCCGAGTGCGACTCTGCATCCGGCGCTCAAAAGTTGAGAATATTTGAACCTTTTTTTGCGGTGCGATCGGGGCCTGAGGCAGCTGAAGTCTAATCAACCTAATCCACTAACATCTTCCGACAAACTATTGTGTGGCACAACAGTCGGATGAATCTCATTGTGCTGAGAACAAATATTACAGAAAGATAATTACTTTGTTCTCCACACGCACAGTACGTTCACACTGTCTGCTGCTCTATCCTGACTTCAACTATACTTGACTGATGCGTCCTTGACTTGGAAAGCTGTAAATGTCCTCATCTCCAACGATCACCGCACAGGAATATATACCGCACCAAATGCAGTGCTGGAGGCAATCTGTCATAACAACAAAAAAAGTGATGCATGGCGTTTAAACACTTTCTCTCCTCCATAACAAATAAAATGCACAAGCAGTTGTCATGTTTGAAATGTATTTCACAGCCAGTGGAGGAGTTTAATCAGCGAAGGTATGTCTTTAGAGGAACAATATTGGATTTCGGGGGATGTACTTTTATAAATTAAAGATGGTGCCGATTCGGATGACAGCGTTTGTGACACCATCGACGCTCTATACACAGAAAATGTAACTCATAAAAAGAAGTTGAATGGGAAGCCGGGCGGCGTGGATGTAATCATGGAGGAACGTATACAGTACAAACTGTCCTCGGGCTTCTGGGAGCTTTTATAAATCAGGATCATTGCGAGTGTCCTCGGTAATACAAACAACACACACAAACATTGTAAATTTAAATCTCTAAACATCTCCACGCGCTGTTACTTGAGCAGGCTAAACACACACACACACACACACACACGTTTTATTGTCGGTCCCTCTCCAGCACGGGGCTGTAAGCAGTGACCAGTTTTATGACTTTTAATTAGTGCACTGTCACCATAGCAGCAACCAGCTGGCAAACAGCCACATCTTTACACACATGTATAAACAATGGCAGAGGTAGAAAAAAAGAGAGGTAGAGGAGAGTGTTTAGTGAGGAAAACATGCTTCAGAGAGCCACACGTCAGCCACCGGCCTCCGTTACGACAGCTCAGTACTTCAGCCACAAAATGACTATTTGTATATCAATCACTCGATACGAGGAGTCACCTCGTATCCTTGAAGGAACCGTTTCTCTCAAAGAGAAAAAAAAAAAAAAAAAAGTCTGAGCGTTTTAACAACAGCAGAACTAAATGAAAACATCCGTTTACAGACTCACACTAGTTGTGCAGTAAAATCTCAAGTCTCATTTATCCAGTCGTATACGTATATGCTCACTGCTTCGCATACGAATGCAGCTTTGCTTCACTTCAGCTTAAATCAAGTCTCATGGGTTCCCAGGAGCACTACACGTCTGGATGAGTAGCGCACCTGCCTGTTTTAGCCGGTTTTAGCATTCGAATGGATAAACGAGAGTTGGTTGCATGAGAGTTTGTTAAACTAATGTTTTGATCAGGCGACAACCTTCGGTTCTGAAAAGTGAGGCCAATGCGGAAGGGCCTTAAACCTGCATTCTCTCTACTGGCCAGCAGGGGGCGACTCCTCTGACTGTTAAAAGAAGTCTGATTGTACGGAAGCTTATGAGAAAATGATACGGCGTCTCTACGTCGCTCCTCCACACTCCAGATGTGGTCACTTCGGCTCACTGGTTGCAAAAAAACAAGATGGCGACAGCCAAAATCCAAGATGGCGACAGCCAAAATCCAAGATGTCAACGGCCAAATTGGCGATTTTGAGGCTTTGTAACGGCAGTCCACAAACCAGCGAGTGACATCAAGATGACTATGTCCATTCTATGGTTTTGATATAGATTGTAGTTGCTAAACGCAGCCTCAATTTATTTCAACTCATCAAGACTTTTCTCCGTTGTTGAATCCATTCTTCGCCGTGGAGGCAAACAGTAAAAACAAAGTTTACTTCAATTTTCAAGGTAACGCGGTTGGGCTGTGTATTGGCAAGAATGTGGCAATACGATACGTATCATGATACACGGGTTCCGATTTAATACAGCGCAGTATATTGGGGTACTGTAAAGCGATACGTACGATATTTAGAATCAAATTTCTGTTTGCCACGAACCTTTGCTTGGAAACTTAATTTAAAACAGTGTTTTTGAGAGAGAAAAAAAACACGATATCGCGATACTCCTGCGTATGAATATTTTCTTACACCCCTATTACACGTGTGAGTGTCTGTGTGTTAAGTTGTGACACACGTTTACCTGAAATTAGGTGCGGAGGCCCATTCCAGAGCGAGGCAGGCCAAGTCCACGGCCGCGTACACCAACAGGAAGAAGATGGCCACGATGCTGGCGATGGTGTTGAGCTTCCCGGAGAAAAGCACCAGCTGGAAAAAATATGTAAAAAATGCATGCCATTAAAATAATCTGCAACAATGAAGATCTTACACATAAGGGTTTTAAATAAGCTGCTACCAAGACTCTGGGTTTTTAAGTCAAGGATCCCCAGATAATTGAGCATAAGTCCATTTTGGTCCATAAAGATGTTCTGCTGTTAGATATAATCATCTGTCTGCACCGGAGGTAAGAGGTGACATCAGGGTTAGATTTGAACCAACGTCTAGGGAGCGAGACACCGTTAAAATTAAATTGTTCTACCTTTTCTCGGGGACCACTGTGGGACCACAGGGGGTCCCCGAGCTCCACTTGGTGAGCCACCAATGGAGGCTAATGTTCACCGTTAATTAAGACGCTATCTAGGCTGCGGTCCGGCTGCATGTGGTCAGCTCTGTGACAACACAGCCAAGTCGAGTTACACTGAGAGTTCTCCGTGTCTGATGTGGAGGGACAGTCGTACGTCTGGTAACACGACAGCCCACGAACGCATGAGATTCACCCTCGGGTTCCAGGTGGCTTCTAATAGAGGAGGGAAATGACGACCCCATTATAAGCGCTGCTCCCTGCCATGTTCTCTGACACCAGGACGTAACTCACTGCGAGGTACCACGGATGAGAAAGCCAAGAATGAAAGCAGCTTCCACTGTTTCACCTGCATTATATCTTGCTTTAACTACCACCATTATGCTCACATTTATAACCCCAGAAGTAGCAAATATTTATGTCAACATAGTAGAATTAATGAATTTTAAAGCTATGTTTGAATTTTTTGGCCACTTGGGGGCAGTGCTATCAGCTGTAAACACAACATTAAGGTACAGTATCATCACAATAAAGGCTGCTTTAGTGAACTTGTTAGCACACAGTTACCTCTTTACACATCAGGCGGACACAAAGCAACATTAGTGTTTAACAGCAGAGTCCTGCATCGGGAGGGTAATATTTTGTCTTAATTTCATTTACAGGTTTGATTCTGGGTAAAACAGAACTTCAATCAGGTACAATTAAAGTTAAAATATCTTATCTTAGTGTTGCATGTGTAGGGGTGCCCCCCCGAGACTCGGTTCTAAACAGGGGCCGGTTCTAAATGAGTAAAAACCTGGAGTCTTCTGAACTGAATGAAACATCTTCTGTGGATGTTTCTTCATCTGTATGTGACTGATTGCTCAGAGAAGGAGGTAACTACTGTACTAACCCGGGAAACAAGAGTAGAGTCTTTCTCTCCAATTACGTGCGCTACGATTGCTGAGAAACTTTGGTGGAGTTGGAGTTCATTTTCTTCAGCTCAAGGGCGTATCATTGGTATTTATGGAAGGGGAGATCGCTAACTTTGTGACCACGAAGCAGAAGTAAACCGAAGGGGGAATAGAGAGGGATGGAAGGTAACGATGGGGGAATGGAGATTAATGATGTCACATTATCGACAGGCGGTCAAGAAAGAGAAAGGAAAAGATGATGAAGCGAGGGAGCAAAGAGAGCAAAAAAAGAGAAGAAGATGAAGAGAGAAAGTGGGTAAGAAATCGTCTCTGACCTCTGGCAGTCAAAGTCGGTGGGTGTCTCTCCAGCGCTCCCCCGGGAGTCGTCTCCACCAGAGCATTAATTAGCCATTAACTCAGACACAGGCCAGCATGGACAACTGCTGTCACCACGCACACGTGTGTGTGTGTGTGTGTGGGTGTGTGTGTGTGTGTGCGAGCACACTTAATCTCCTCTGGGTATATGTTTTTGTGTGGCCATTTGAAAGAGTGTTTTTACTGGAAAGCGGTGTGCATAAATTGCCATAAATTTTGCTGAAAATAAGTGGGCTCACACAGGCACTTATATTAAATAAAGAGAATGGAGAGGAAGCAGCTGAGTCATGTTCTGGACTACAAAGCCCAAAGCTTTTCCAGAAAAGGCCTCCAGGTTTACAGGTTACAATTGGACGGTGAGTGTTTGAGTGGGATGCACGTACGCCGCGGCTATTGAAGCGATCAGTGGCAGTAAATACATACTTTATGAGATTAATAGAGTTTAATCGAGAAGTAATCAACAAATATTATACAAAAAATGTGCCCTCATTCTGTACGATCAATAAATTACAGAATTTGTGGAATCTTTTACATTAAAGTTTTCAGATTTTCTTGTTTTGTTTGTTAATTTGGGAAAACCAAAGTACTGCTTATCATGATCTGTGATAAGAGTAAACTTCCTTTATTCTCCAAATCACTACAGAGCTCCATGTGGTTGGCAAGTTATCTGACATCCAGTCCTTCATAGATGTAAAGAGTTTACTGAGGTCTTTTGTTTTGAAGGAATAGCTGAGTGTCGTCTGCATAACAGTGATAACAAATACACTTCAATGACCTGCAGTGGGGGTCAGCTCCTCACAGTCTGAGGACATCTGACAGAAAATGGTGGTTTGCTTACTACAGGGTGAGAATGAAACCCCAAGTGAGTTCAAGTGCCTTGGGGTCTTCTTCATGGGTGTGATTAACGGTAGAATGAGGAGATTGTGGCTCAGTTTTGGTTTCAAATTGTGGTTTTAATTGGATTGATTTTGTGTGGAAGACTGCTGTGATCGGCGAAATTGGAAAGCATAGCGACTGCTGGAGCGATTTCGTAGAAAGATTGTGGGGATTAAAAAGATATTTGCAAATATTGTTTGCATTTTCGTTAACGTTCTTGGAGAGACTGAAAAAAACCCTGATTTACAAAGACATGTCGTCACGTGCAGTGTCCATCTTTGTCATTGTATACATTTGTGCCCGTCAGCAGCTTTCTTCTAACCTCTCTTCTGTTTTTCTCCTCCCCTTGTTCTTGCAGTCCGTCCATTTTTTAGCTTCACTTAAAAGTCCAATGAAAGAAAGCCTTGGCTCGTGCTGTGAGGCGAGATTACAATCAGACTTTTTGTCATCAGCGAATCATTGAAATGGCAGAGGACGAGGCAGAGAGAAAGGGGGACGAGAGAGTCAATGACCTCTGATGGAAGCGGCGGCACAGCTAACGATTTCCATCTAATTGCTCCTCCTCCACTCCAGGAGATTGGCGAGGGAGAAAGAGAGGAGGAGGAGGAGGAGGGAGAGAGAGAGAGAGAGCGCACAAATAATGACAAGGCATTTAGGCTTCAACACTCACCTCTGATAATGATGGGATGGTCCGGACTATTTGCGCTAAAGATTCTCTACCTCCTCTTTGTCTCTCTATCCTCACCTCTTTACTTCTGCCAATATTTTTCTCCTCAGGCTACATTTACTTCTTTCATCGACATAGAAGACACAATGGAAGAGAAAAACACGACGTGATTTTTGTTTGTTTGTTCCGTTCAGCTGTTCTAATACTATGTTATACACAAGAAACAAAGACATCAAACTGAACTAGCTTCTGCAGTTCTGTTTGAGGACAGAACTCTCTCCAGTTAAAGACGAGGACTTTATGATCTTTCTATGGCGAGACTTCACAACCCAAACAACGGGAGCTTGGGCTGATTTTGTCCCACAACCTCACTAACTCGGATCTAATCGGCTTCTCTTCCTTCCCTTTGTGCTGAGTCTCACTGCTTCTGGAGCTCAGTTGGAATTCATCCCGGGTTTATCGATTTCACTAAAATATTTAAAACCAGGGCCGGTGTTTCAATCTGTATCCTTGAAGTCGGCTTGAAGCTCTATATTTTTAGGCCCATTGATCGGAAAATCAAATAAGTGAGTGGATTCAAAAACTGTTCCCATTATTAGGGGAAGAAATAAGTGAGAGATGTGATTTCTACGCCCTTTAGGGTCACACTTTGGTTTTAGCTTTCTTGGACTTTTTTTTTTACTTCTTACAACCCGTCAGATCAACTAACTGGCAGCTTTGCCGGGATTTCCCTTTTGAAGATTACTGCCAGTTGCTTTTGTCAAGTATCAAATGTCTTCGTTGACTCTCTCCATCCTTCTGCTGTAGTTCCTCTCCACTAACCTGCACAAGGAACCAGGAGAGGAGCACCGACACCCAGGGGTTACCGCTGTGGGACGTCTTCTTCGCCGGAGAGAGCACCTTACCTGCAGGGAGGACAAGAAATGTTGGTGAAAAACCTTAAACTTTTAGGGGATTGTTAGCATGATAATTGCTCAGAATACTCTCGAGCAGCAGCTTCCATATGAAAATATCTGCGTTGATCTTAACAACCCACAGCGTAGAAACCCTGGGTGCATTCGTCCTTCAATGAAAGAAGGAAATGAACAACCATCCTTTGGGTTGATGGAGAGTTTCCTCCACAACAATGGACACTGGAAAATGGTGCACAAGTTTGGACACAAAGTTGTCCTCATCCTTGTCAATCAGACAGAGATGCCTGTTCACTTGTTGTCGATACTAACATTTAACTCCCCTATTGACACCTCCTCCTCACCGCTATTCCATATTTCTGGTAATATTTCAGTATTCAAACACGTAAATATCCCACAATGCATTGTGATAATGACAATAATGTTCATGACCTCAATAAGACAAATTACTGTAAGTGTAGGCATAACATTTACATTTTCGTTTTTCTGTGTGTTTCTTTATTTATTTATTTTTAGTTCAGACGTCACAAATAATCCTTTGGTCACACGGAGTACATTACAGTTTGGTGCGTGCGACAAAGGATACGTTACGTACCTCTGTTTATGCACACAAAAGCACGCCGAGGATAGTTGCACATGTTGAGTGTATGTGGTGCGCAGTGTGCGATTTCGGTAATTCAGATACAGATTCCAGAACGTCGGAGCCTTGAGCGGCAGCGATTACGTCACACTTTACAGATCAAATTCATTTGGACCGGGGATAGTCATTTCTAGTGTAACTGACATCTAAACCGAATGTATGTAATTAACTGCACATCTAGTCAAGACAAGAGAGAGCAGCGGCGAATGGGCGAGCGACGGAGACAAAACTGAACCAGCTCTCAACTGTATTTAATACCTCACAGGCCTGTGTGGTTTACTGGAAGGCAACTCATGTACATAACGCCTCGCATCCTCTTCACAGTTGACATTTCATCACGTGACAATGAGGATATTTGAGTTGTGCAGCGGAGGTTCACCTCCAGAATCAAAGACATAAAACTCCAAAGGGGGGAGGTAACAGGTTGGTGGGGGGGGGGGGGGGCTAAATTTCACAGCTGACGAAGGATGAGAATTAAATCAGCGAGACTTTAAAGTCAAATCAATGCGGCCGAGAGGAGCAGGACCGAGTGATGGAGAGGAGGGAGAGGAGGCAGGACGGGAGGTGAAGGAGCTGGAGATTAGTGACTTAAAAAAAGAGAAGAAAGAAAACGGGGAGGCGTGTGAGACGAAGACCTGACGCATCCATCACTCTGTTTGCATAGGACGGTGGCAAGGTGAAGCTGTGTGCGGCATGCATGAACGGCAACAACAACACACACACACACACACACACACACACACACACACACACACACACACACACACACACGGTGTGTGGTCATACTAACCGTTTCATCCCTCCTACAAGAACATTACACATTTATGGTTCCACAGTCGCCGACTCTTAATTAAAAGAGATTAATCTAAGTTAACCCTTTGGCTGTCGGTGGTCAGACAGCTGAACTCTCCACTGTCTCCACTGTGGTCTGATCACTCCGCAGAGGAACTCCCACTAATACAGCCGTTAGCCTCCCTTGACACACACGGGCGGCATGGACTCACACGGAGAGGCCTCAATGCTGCGTTCCGCTCGACGTGGGGATTAAACTCAGTGTTTTTGTGTCCAAATATTCAGGGAGCATTAAGTGACGTTGCTCGTTGCTCGATTAGTCTCTGAAAATGCGGCAACATGTCAGCGTTTCATATTAATTACCGGCCAAAGTTCAGGTTTGTGCACTTGCTGCACGGGGGATTCAGGGACGGCCGCTCGGTGTGGAAGAATCCCCTCGCAGTTTCGACTCTCAATGATGTAATGAACATATGAAATAGGTCTATTTTACTGCGTTCACTGAAATGTCATCATCTGCTCATCTCATCCCATCTGCCTCTTTCCCCCAACACGATCTCCAACAGAAGTTTCAGAAGACGGCCCCCCCCCCCCCAGCAGGAAAATGGTTTCACCTACCGAACAAGTCGTCTCTGGCCAGGGCGTAGAGGATGCGCGAGGCTCCGATGAGGTTGCTCATGGCGGCGGAGAGGGTGGAGGAATAAACCCCGATGGTGACGAAGGGGTTCCAGATGTTGATGTCTCTCAGGAAGCTGTAATCCCTCTGAAGAAGGACC